CGCTTGTGCAAATGAAGCCCGGGAAATTCAAATCCCGGGCTTCATTTGCAAGTGCGGTATGCCTACATTACCCCCCTAGTTCGAACTAGCGGGGTAGTGTAGACATACCCTCCCAGACTCCAGTCACCCTCCTGCACCCCAGTCCCTTACCCCAAGCTCCCTTCTGCACCCAACCTCCATTCCAGACCCTGCATCTCCATTAATATCATGGAAGAGTGTGGCCCTCTACCGCTTTCCAAAATCTTGGCGTGCCTCTCCCCCGCACCCCTATCAAAAATGATTGCCCACCCCTGCCCTAAAGGAAGCTAAATCCTCTTTCTTAAGTCTCAACATAGTTCTTAAAATTTTGATTTGACAATAGGAGGAGTTATTTTTCATGATTACTGTATAGAATTATAGCAATATTTTACTTATAGGGCTGAATGAAAGGCCATACAAGGTAATGCATTTAGGGAGAAGGACTCAGTAACATTTAGGGATGTAAAATCACATTTAAAAAGTTATCCAGTTGAATGTTATGTTAAATGTTAGATTTAACCATGATCCTGAAGGCAAGGGGCTGTTCCTACCTGGCCAAGCCTCCTTTGCCATGGGCTGCTCTATCCAGACCAAGCCAATCCTGGCATAGTGCGGTGGGCTGTTTGTGCTGGGCCTACTGTGCTGCAGATGGGGAGCTGCTCTAGCTTGGCTGCCTCGGGCAGTTGACTGCTCCAGTCCAGCTGGTCCTGTTGCATCGTTGGGCTGGAGCACCCCCCGCTCATATCATGGCACAGTGGGCTTGGCCAATTAACCAGTTATCCTGGTAAGCATGCCAGTAAGGCTGATGCTTACTGGGTGATCACTTAACCCTTTACATCCCTAGGAACATTCCTATAAAATCTCACTAATTTTGCTTGGTTCTGTTTTTCCTAAGTTGCAGACCAGCAACGGAGAGAGAGACTGAAGAAGGAAATTGCCAGGTGTGAGAGAGAGATAAGCTCAGCAAAAAATGCCTCACGGTCCAGCTCCAGAGGTAGTGGGAGGCCACTGTCATCTACTTTTATAAAGGTAAATATTTTAACTTGTTTCACATTGTAGATACAAAATTATCATACAAAATTACATAGAAAATTACCAAGATTTAACATCTAGAAGTTATGTGGGTCAAGACTTTAAGTCCTTATTCAGTTTTTACTCACTCCGTGCCCACTCCTTGGTTAGGAGTCTAAAGAAGTTCAGACTGAGTAAAAACCGAGTAAAGATGTTGGGATTTGGCCCTTTGTGTGTAAATGGGCAGAGGCTCCATGCTGCTATCTACACACACAATGCTATACAATCCAAATTTCCCTTGTTCCCTTTTTACTACTTGTGTTTTTCCTGATAGGCCTCCTGCCTATTGCCTTCTTTCTTATGCTAAATCTTGAAAGAGAAGATTGAAGAGTTGAAATTCCCATGTATGTTTCAAGACAGAGGGCTACTGTACAGCACACCTCACCCCAGCTGCCATTCCAGCCTGTGGGATGGAATAACTGCCATAACCTCTCTTTGTCGGTTATACAGAGCATAGGATTGTCAACTTTCTAATTGCAGAAATCCGAACAGCATTGTTATTTCAAAGTATGATTTACTTTGAAAGAAGTGTCTACACAGCACTTATTTCAAAGTAAATCATTGTTCCAAAATGTCCCTTACTCCTCTCTGATATCCCGAAATAGCGCTGCAATGTAGACGCAGCCCCAGAGGATGGTGTCCAGCTGTCTGACTGGTTGTGTACTGGTGTCACTCCTGGGTGCTGAAGAACTGGTCTCAGCTCCAGTCTGTGCAGGCCTGGTGTAGGCAGCCCCTTCAGGGGTGAGGTGAGTTGAGATCCAATGGTGAGCCAGGGAAGGGACTGTGAACCTGCATTTATGCTGCTCCATTGCTCTCCGTGCTGTTAGGGTTGCCAGGCATCCAGTTTTCAACTGGAATGCTGGTCAAAAAGGGACCCTGGCAACTCCAGACATGCAGGTTGTTTCTGGAAGCTCCCTGAGGTAAGTGCCACCTGAAGCCTGCATCCCAAACCTCTTCCATGCCATAACCCCCTGCCTTGAGCCCTTTCCTGCATTCTGAACCCCTCAGTCCCAGGCCAGAGCCCCCTCTTTATTCGAAATTCCTCATCCTCTAGCCCCACCCAAGAGCCAGCACCCCCAGTCAGAGCCCTTAGCCCTCCATATCCCAACCTCCTGCCCCAACCCGGAGCTCCTCTCCCACACCCTAAACTCATTTCTGCACCACCCCCAAAGTCCATACCTCCCAACCCAGAGACTATGCCTGCTCCCACACCTAAATTCCTGGTCCAGCCTAGAGCTTCATCCTGCACTCCTAATTGCTCATCACCAATTCTAGGTCAGAGTCCACACCCTGAGCTGAAGTCCTTACCCTCTTCTGCACTCCATCCTGGAGAAAATGAGCAAGTGAGCAAGAATAGAGACGAGCAAGAGACTGGGGAAGGAGGGATGGAGTGAGCAGGGGCTGGAGCCTCAGAGAAGAAGAGGCGGGTCCATTACTGTGTCTTAGGGAAGAGGGAGGTTTTTGATGATTAACCAATTACAGGTTACCTTCACCAGGAAAAATAATTTGTTTGTGGTGTTCCTGTGTTACAGTATATGTTTGCATTTTACAAAATATACACAAGTGCAAATACCATAGATATACTTTCAGAGGTTTGTAAGTATGTGCTGCTAGATCTGTAGTAATGAACACATAAGTCTAACTTCAGTACCGGGCAAATTAGTCGAAACAATATTAAAGAATAAAATTGTGAAGCATATAGAAGAACATAATTTGTTGGACAAAAGACAACATGGTTTCTGTAAGGGGAAATCCTGTCTTGCTAATCTGTTAGAGTTCTTTGAAGGGGTTAACAAACATGCAGACAAGGGGGATCCAGTAGATATAGTATACTTGGATTTTCAGAAAGCCTTTGACAAGGTCCCTCACTAAAGGCTCTTGTGTAAATTACATGGCCATGGGATAAGAGGGAAAGTCCTTTCTTGGATTGAGAACTGGTTAAAAGACAGGAAACAAAGGGTAGGAATAAATGGTAAATTTTCAGATTGGAGAGGGGTAACTAGTGGTGTACCCCAAGAGTCAGTCCTGGGACCAGTCCTTTTCAACGTATTCATAAATGATCTGGAGAAAGGGGTAAGCAGTGAGGTAGTAAAGTTTGCGGATGATACCAAACTGTTTAGGATAGTCAAGACAGAAGCAGGGCAGACTGTGAGGGACTCCAAAAAGATCTCACCAAACTGAGTGAGTGGGCAACAAAATGGCAAATGAAATTTAATGTGGATAAGTGTAAAGCAATGCACATCGGGAAAAATAACCCCAACTATACGTACAGTATGATGGGGGCTAATTTGGCTACGACAAATCAGGAAAGAGATCTTGGAGTTATTGTGGACAGTTCTCTGAAAACTTCCACACAGTGTGCAGCGGCGGTCAAAAAGGCAAATAGGATGCTAGGAATTATTAAGAAAGGGATAGAAAATAAGACCCAGAATATCTTACTGCACCTGTATAAAACTATGGTATGCCCACATCTTGAATACTGTGTACAGATGTGGTCTCCTCCCCTCAAAAAAGATATTTTGGCCTTGGAAAGGGTTCAGAAAAGGGCAACTAAAATGTTTAGGGGTTTGAAACGGGTCCCATATGAGGAGAGGTTAAAGCGACTGGGACTTTTCAGTTTAGAAAAGAGGAGACTGAGGGGGGATATGATAGAGGTCTATAAAATCATGAGTGGTGTGGAGAGGGCGGATAAAGAAAAATTATTTATTAGTTCCCTAAATAGAAGAACTAGAGGACACCAAATGAACTTAATGGGTAGCAGGTTTAAAACTAATAAAAGAAAGTTCTTCTTCACACAGCGTGTAGTCAACCTGTGGAACTCCTTGCCAGAGGAGGCTGTGAAGACTAGGACTATAATAGAGTTTAAAGAGAAGCTAGATAATTTCATGGAGGTTAGGTCCATAAAAGGCTATTAGCCAGAGGATAAAATGGTGTCCTTGGCCTCTGTCTGTCAGAGGCTGGAGAGGGATGGCAGGAGACAAATCGCTTGATCGTTGTCTTCAGTCCACCCTCTCTGGGGCACCTGGTGCTGGCCACTGTCGGTAGACAGGATACTGGGCTAGATGGACCTTTAGTCTGACCCAGTACGGCCGTTCTTATGTTCTTATGTAAGCAGCAAATTAAAGCTTATTTTATTTCCCTGTGCCAAAAGATTCCTAATTTGGGGAGATATACCATTAATCACGTGTTTGCAAGATATACCATTAATCAAGTGCTATTACTAGGAAATGAATTTTCTGATTTCCAGCATGCTACTTAAGCCATTGAAATTATACAAATAAGTGAAGACTTGCTGTCTATATTTGTAAGTTGAATTTTGTTAGCAAGAGCATAATCAGATATATTGAATACACTTCCAAGTAAAATAGAAATAAATGGCTGAAATAAAGTATATTATTCTAGTAAGCGTTATTCACTACTATGGGAAAGATTTACGTTAGCCAGCAGTGATAGGTATCAGAGGGATAGCTGTGTTAGACTGTTTATGGAAAAACAACGAGGAGTCCTGTAGCACCTTAAAGACTAACAGATTTATTTGGGCATAAGATGTCATGAGTAAAGACTGGATTAAGGGGTTAGTCTTTCTGGTGACACAGGACTCCTTTTTGTATTAACCAGCAACAAAAGCTTTTGCCAGCTTTACCTAAAGAAGAATATACTATTTTCACAGTATTGATTTCAGCACAGAATGCTTGATATCTTTGGAATTTATTTTGTGTGAAAAGCATTCACAGAGATACAGTACATTTCCAGCTAATATTTAGAACAGATCATTAGTTGGTTTCTTTCTGCATGACTGTATTTGATAGCAGACTATTTGAATAGTGACTTTATTAGAGTGCCAGGTAATAATGCATTGAGATTTTATGCAAGATTCTTGCATATGGATTAATACATAGACCTGAATTAGGAAAAGGGAGGGAAATGTCAGATAAAAGACCTGAGATCTCATCTTTTAATTATTTTTTCTTCACTCATTGTTATTTTCTGAATTTCTCTCATGTTTAGATTAGTCTCTGAAAACCCTGAGTAACTGTTACTAACACACTGTCCCTGTTATATTTTATTGTACAAGTTAAAGGAGTCCCTTGAGGTTTGTGATACCATCTACATGTTTTGTTAGTCTATAAAGTGCTACCAGACCATTTGTTGTTTTTTTCTTGTGTGGGTTGACTCCAGCACTGGTCCTAGTTCCTAATTTCTTACAAGCAACCCACTACCACTTGTGGGCCTCCTTAAGTCTCTCCTTGGGAGTTGACCGCACACCCCTTAGGATTAGGATGAAGCTCTCCTGGATGGAAGTTCTCTCTATGGCTCTTGAGATCACACCAGCAGTCCCTTGATCCTTTCCTTCCCATCCCTACTGACTGCAGTTTCCTCCCTTTTAAAGGCCTCTTGCTACCTTCCTATCTGTAGGGCCCTACCAAAGCCATGGTCCATTTTGGTCAATTTCATGCTCGTCAGATTTTAAAAATGGTAAATTTCATTGTCAGCTTTTTAAATCTGAAAGCTCATGGTATTGTACTTGTAGGAGTCCTGACTCAAAAAGGAATTGGGATGGTCTCATAGGGTATGTCTACACATGCACCCTCTTTTGAGAGAGGGATGCAAATGAAGACATTCGAAATTGCAAATGAAGCCGGGATTTAAATATCCCGTGCTTCATTTGCATATTTGTGTAATGGCGCTATTTCGAAATAGTGCTAGTTCGAAATAACAGCCGCTGTTACGATGCAGTTATTTAGAGAGAAAACACTTCTCTCTAAATAACCCTTATTTCTCATAGAATGAGGTTTACCAGTTATTTTGAGACGTGTTTTTCATGGCCTTGAATTTGGTAGGGCCCTATTTATCTGTGTGAGGTCTATACACATCATCAAATACAAAATCTGAGTTTATTTTTTTAAGAGTTTTAAGTGTGTGCTTTGACACAGCTATGTATTAGCATCGTAGTTCCT